TTTGGAAGATGTAAGAAAGATGAGAACTAAGCTCTTCAATTATTTTAAATTGTCAACTATTTATCAGGAAAAGGATGAGGACATCCCTAGATCCTGATTTGATAAAAGAAAATACTATAGTTTTTTCCAAAGTCACAGTCTTATAATATGTAGGTAGTATAATGTTTTATGTGTCTCCTCAGAAAAGCTTTCTAGCCAAGACTTCAGCTCTGCTGAATTTTCTAAACTGACAGGGGTTATAATGTTTCTAGATCTAAGGTACAACTTTGCAGCCTTGAGGTAAATATTTGGGCCTTATTATATCTAAGGGAACCCAAAGATTAGGGGAAGAAAGAATTAAACTGATTTTTTCCTTTCCACAACCCAAGACTCTAAAACAGCTAAGGACATTCCTAGAAATTACAGGCTTTTGTGGCCTTCAGATAACAGGGTATAGTGAGAATGAATGACCCCTCTATTAGCTTATTAAGATTAGAGATATTAAGCATATTTCAGGTCAAAGCCTCCAAAGGAGTGAGAGGACAGATATAGGAGTAAAGGTAAGTCATGGAGCCAAGTCCTGGGAAAGAGGAGGCTGATTTCCTTCCTTAAAAAAGAGGAGTAGAATGAAAGTAATCCCAGGGAAGGGGGCAGCTGGCCAGGTCTCCCCAGAAGAGTAAAGAGGAAAGCCTAGAAATGCTTATGTTTCAGATTAAAGATTTTCTTTCACCATTTCATGCTCTGAAACATTGAGAACTAATCCTATGGCCTCTTTATCCCTTTCATGTTCAGCCCATTTGTTATGGCTTCTATAGAAATTTCCCCACAAAGCCTCATGCTGTCATAGGTGGGGCTTTTCAGAGGTGGTTCAACGTTTGGTGTGTGATGCTGGGATTAGGGGTGTGAGATTACTAAATTAGTCCACTGATTGGTTTAGCATAGTTTGGGGTGTGGGTGGCACCACCCAAAAGGTGGGCAGCTTGGAAGGGATAAAAGGGACAGGCAGTATGCTGGTTCACTGCTTTACTGCTTTCTGCTTGCCACACCATGAACTCTTACCACTTTGTGATGCCCCTTGCCAGGTCACCTTGACTTGAAGCTAGTCAACTATGGACCAAAACTTCTACGGACTGTGAGCTAAATGAACTTTTCCTCCTTTAACTTGTAGGTATCAGGTATTTTGTGCCAGCAACAAGAAAAGTAACTAAGGCAGATTTTGTTATGAGGAGTAGGACAGTTGCTGTGACACTACCTGGCCATGTGCTTCAGGAGCCTTTGGAACTGGGTTGTGGAAAAAGTTTGGGAAGGTTTTGAGATGCCAGCTGAAGAAGCATCCCTGTAATGGTATAAATTGAACTTGATAGAAGATTCTGGTCAGAGCTCAGAACACGAGAATGCTGATAGAAATGCTCTCAGTAAAGACCAGGCTCAGGAGGTTTTGGAACAAGGATTATGTTGGCTGTTGCATTCCAGAACATGTGTGTTAACCTTAGGCAGAAAATTTGTCTGCATTTTGCTCTTTTCCAGGAAGCTTGTCTGATACTGAGATGGAGGGAGGTAGACTAATCGGCCTAGCAGAAGAAATTTCAATGTAGTCCAATGTTGAGGCAGGGCATGGCTAATATTGGGGGCTTTTAGCCAGATATACTTTGAAAATCAAGAACAAAGGTACAGTAGAAATTTTTTTTCCAGTACCAGGGATTAAACTCAGGATCTTGCACTTGCAAGGCAGGTATGAACCCAGGAGAATTTTAAAAATTTTGAGTTTAGCCAAAAGAAAATATCTAGTAAAGTTGAGGGCTGCAGATATGGAACAGAGGGGAAACTGGTTTCTAAAAAGACTAGCAAAAAAAAAAAAGTCAAGTATTTCAGAAGAGAACAATAGAAAAGATGGCTTGAGGACATCATAAAGATCAGCAGGACTCCATCTTTTGCAGCCTAAAAATTGCAAAGGTAAAGAACTTTGCTTTGAGAAGAGATCCCCAGAGTACCATGTTCCAGAATCACAGTGGCCTCTGGAAGTTGATCTTTAGGATTGGTTCATAGGCACTTCAATCTTACAGCCAAGAGACAAGGAAACTTGGCTACTGTTCCAATTAGCGATAGACCTTGCTGTCATCCACATAGTGCTGGTTTTAGGTGCATGTAGAAAGCAAGAGGTGTGGGGTCAAGAAGCCTTCCACCCAGATTTCAGCAGAAAGCCTGGGAAGCCAGGCAGTGTGTCCCTGAAGGGACAGTGTGTGAAGCTGTGAGTGTGAAGCCAAAAGTGCAATAGAGACCCCAGAAGGTTGGAGAAGCCAGGAACTTGGATAATCTGAGGAAAGCTGCTAGAAGCGAGCAAAGACGGCCCAAGAGTGAAGTCATGGGAACCGTCTGCAGTGCTGCAGGCAGAGCCACCTAAACCCTTTGGAGTTCACGTCTTGCTACAGATTAGCCCAGATGCTGGACATGAAACTATGGGACTCAATGTGTGCCCTGGTGGATTTCGGACTTGCTTTGGTCCCATTGCTTTCTATCCCTCTATTTGGAATGGAAATGTTTATCTTGTGCCATTGAATGTTGGAAGTGTTTAACTTTCTTTTCATTGCTACAGGGCCTTGCCCCTAAGAGTTTGCCTTAAATCTCAGAGGAGACTTTGGACTTGGACTCTTCAGCAGTGCTGAAACTGTTAGGCCTTTGGCCACTCTCAGAGATGGACTTTTGCATAAAGGGATGTACGAAAACCTTTGGGGGACTAGGGGCAGAATGTTATGGGTTGTACCTAATGCCCCCCTAAAGCCTCAGGTGCGCACAGATGAGGAGCTTTGAAAGTGGCTCGATTAGGATGTGATAGTGGGATAAAGGGATAAATTGGGATAACAGCTGGAATTAAGGGGGTGGATAAGGAAAGGCCACCCTGGGCGTGGTTGGTGCCACCCAAAAGGCTAGGAGCCTGGAAGGAATAAAAAGGAGAGGCAGGGGTGCTGCTGGGGCTTCTGCTGCTTGATGCTCACTGTCCTCCGCCTGCTGCAGCATGGACTGTTTCTCCTCTGCAGTGCCCCTCTGCCATGCCACCTTGCCTTGGAGCCGGCTGACTATGGACTAAAACCTCTATAAACTGTGAGCTAAATAAACCATTCCTCCTTTAACTTGTGGGTGTTGGGTATTTTGTGCCAGCAATGAGAAAAACAACTAAGACACCATTTACATCAGGGCTGAGGTTCTTGTAAGATACTCAGATTGAGAACCCTCTGACAAATAGGGGTCAAATATATACCTTAGTAACAAAAATTATTATTATTATTATTTTTTTAACAAGAATTATTTTAAAAAATTATCCTGTGACATTCTGAACCTGAGTGTTTGCACTTGACCCTTGTAGGGAGCAATTCTACATAATTTTGGGGAAAATCATTTCACAATTAAAATGATAATGAAGCCTAGTTTTCCTGCCTATAGGCTAGCTATGGCATACATTGAGACATAACTATTTTCGCCTCAGGCCACAGCTAAAACCTCAATGGTCTCATGATGTTGTGATGTTCCAGGGCAAGATTACACCAGCTGAACACATCCTGGGGAGGAACAAAATCTTTGCCTGCTACATTTGTTACTCCCAATATGCAAAACCACTTCCTCTGAGTCATTGGTTACATTTGTTACTCCCTTCTTTGCTGCCCAGAGCAACATTGATCAGGGTCACAGCTCATCTTCTTTAAATCTAATTTTTCTGTCTTTTCTGTCTAATTAATTAATTCACCTTTTGCTGTTGTGGCTCGCAGGAGACTAGGACTTACTGCAGAGGTTCTAGTTACATCCCTTTTCCCTGTTCCCTGCAGTCCTTGTTTCCTGCTTAGCCTTTCCAGTTCCTTTGGAAGCAGACCTGTATAGACTTTGGGGTCAGGATGCTGGGTTTTGAGCAGCAGCTTGGCTCTCAGGACCGCTAGGACAGGCACAGAGAAGCATTGCTCCTTAGTGAACAGAGTGGACAGCAGCAGCCTCTTGCTTCTGGTATGCTGTCACCCTGCTTTTTAAAACAATGAGCTGGAACCTGAAATAGCAGCACTTTCATAATGTCTTATAATAAATAGATAGCAATATATTTTGAAAAACCTCACAGCAAACATTTCACATAAAATACTTTAAAAAGAGAGTTAATTATATATTTTCATTAAAATTTTTAAAAAAATAGCTACTGTTTCAAGTGTGTTGATGTCTACTATTGTAATAATTGCTGGTCTATAGAATATCTATCAAATATATTTTAAAAAATACAACTGATTGTCTTTCAAGGTGCATCTATCCATGAATGAGAAATTACCTTTTTTAAAAAGAGACAGATCATTTTGAGAGCAACTCTTCCATGATTACATGATTTTAATTGCTAGAGAAGTTAAAACTCTCATATGTGCACACTTAAAAACTTGGAAATATAAATTTCTAAACTTCATAAAAATATTCCAAATAGATGAGGTTTGGTGAGCTTCAAACTATTAAAATTTTAAAGTACAAAATTTATAAATAGTATTGGTTTGCACAAATGACTAGTTTTCAAGAGAATAAATAGATTTTACCTGGAGTTTAACCAAGTAGTATATAATTTAAAAATCAAGTGTCAGATTCAGTAGGTAAAAACAATGAGATTTTTATTGCATTTTAATCAACTAATTTCTGGAGAAGCCTTTTTCCCAGAATAGCTATCAGTTCAAATCTAGAAATAAATCCAACTTAAAACCAGGTCTTCAAATGAGTATTTCAAAAACATTAAAGAAGACAACAAACATATTTATTTAGTCACAATGCTCTCATTGCATTTTTAAATAATTTTTGTGGTACACACGTGTATTTCTAATATAAAGGTTTTCCTTTCGCATGCTTTTACATTTCTGCTTATATTTTTATGATTCTTATGCCGTATTAGTATTTAGCACATTATCACAGGATATCTGTTAAACAGGGTTGATGACCAGAGGCCCAAACAGTTTGGGAATCAGCTGACTTTAGCAACTTTAACTTCTGGATTTGCTTTTAGTTACTTTTCATGGTTAAATTCCAAGTGCTCTTGCATATGCACAGTAAACACAACAACTGCATACATTAACCCAGGAGAACAAACCAATCCTCTCCAGCTCCGCGCTGTGGGAAGCCTCCCACCGGCGCTCTCAGAGGACCGGCGCTACTCCCTCGCCAGGCCCAGCACAGCCGCGCAGGTCCCCGCCTCCAGCCAGCGCAAGGGGCTGCCCGGCCGGGCTCAGGCGCCTTCCTGGGTTGTCTCCGGACGCTCGGAGTCGGAGTCAGAGATTGCACAGGCCAGAGCAATCCGACTGTCGTGAGTCATGTGCCTGAAACCTTGCCCTAGATCAAGGCGGACGGGAAGCACTCCCAAAGCAGCAATAGTAGAGGCAGCAGCCGAAGAGGCAGCAGCAGGAATCTCCAGGTACCGGGCTGGGAGAAACCAGGTCTTCAAGTTCCCAGGGCCGAGAGCGGGTCAGAAGCAGTGGGAGAGGAAGGAGAAGGAGGCCGGGAGGCCAGGCGAAACAGAGAAAAGGGAGGAGGAAGAGGAGAACGACGGCGGGAGGCAATCAGCACGGAGGGCTGCGGGGATCGCCCTGCCACCTGCGCTGTCGCGGGCTGCACAAAGCCTCGAGCCGCAGCCCCGCTCGGGGAGCGGGGCTGGAGTGGGATCGTGAGGTCCCCACCCTCCCTGGCGGATCGCTCTTCCGCGATTTCCCGGCAGAGGTGTGTGACGAGTGAGGAGGGCCTTGGGTTTTGGTGCTCAGTAAATACGGGCGGGCGGGATCTCTGCAGACTTGAACTGGAGGAACTGCAGCGCGGAAGGAGGCCTACCTTCTGGAATTTCTGTAGAGCTTTGAGGAGTTCCTGAGAGGTCCTCGGTCAATGCTACGGCCAGCAGGAACTCCTGTCCTTTCTGCTTATAGGTTGTAACTTTCCTACTGCCCTTCCTTCCCTCCATTCCTTTTGTCTTCCCTCTATCCCTCTCTTTCCCTTCTTCTCCACCTTTATTCTACATCTTCATCCTTCTTCATTGGTTTCTTTCAACTCGTAAAAAAAAAAAACCTTCTCCCCCAACTTCCTCCTCGGCAACTCCTCAGGCAGTAGGTGCAGTGTGGTTCCTGTATTTACTTCAGTTAGTTCCTATCTTCCCAGCTACTCATCAGCCCTTGATCCTCTCTCCCTCTCTTGTGCTGAGGGTGCCCCAGGCCAGACTGCCATCCTCCACAGGGTCCCCAGTTTCCCTGCTGTGTGTGGACAATGCTGCCTTCCAGGACCTCACAGGCACACCTTTCCAGTTCTCCCAGTACTTCCCCTTCCTTTTACTACCTCCAGATTTCGGAAATTCCCCAGAATTAAGTGAGTTTCTCCTCCTGCGCCTCCAGTATCCATATGTTCTGGGTAATTCCATGAAGTCAAGTGGAATGTCCTGGAATCAGGATACTGATGACTTCCACCCTCCTGCTCTACTCATCTTAGGCCCTACCTATATTTCTGAAGGTCCCTTGGCTGTCTTGTTACAGGTTCATTTGGTATGGTATACATTTCAAATGGAATGCATCACCTCCCTCATTCTTAGCTGTCTCCTCATATACACTTCCTACAGCTCATGACCCACCCTAAGTATGAATTTAGCTAGGAGCCTTGGGACCATCCTTGCCACCTCCTGCTCCTCTCTCCTGCCAGATGTCACTCTGCTTAGAAATTCCACTTCAATGTGTGTGTTTCCTAGGCATCAGCAGTCACTGGTCCATGGTAGTGGTCTACCAGCCAATTCCTCTTCCTTGTTCCACACCAAATAGCGAACCACATCATTTTTCTAAAACCAACATAGTCTTATATTTGTTTCAAAACCACATATGGAGCTGGGATGGTGGCACATGCCTTAATGCAGATTCATTGTATTGGCTAGAAATAAGTCTTTCCCTTGTTTTGTGAGAGTCAAATGTGGCAGTTGCACCTAAAGGCATTATTTTATATTATATAGATACCAATTTATTTTTAGATGTATTAGGCAAGTTCCATTTTGTTTAAATTTCCATCCTTCTCAAAAGCTTTTGATACCAATTCCTTTTTAGGTGTATTGAGCAAGATTCATTTTGTTTACCGCCCCCTTTTCAAAAGCCTTAAAGTGTAAACGAGATTGAAGCTCCAAGAAAATGGGGGCTTGTGTCAGTTCTGGAACAGCATCCATGTAGATGCCAGTGTGTGCGGTTGCTGTCAGGCAGAGGTGAATGGGAAATACTATGCTGCTGACCAGCACCTGGACGTTAACCAGGAATGCAGGCAAGGCAGTGAGAAGAGGAAAAGGAAGGATAGAAGAAACCAGAGGTAGGAGTTCAGAATTCAGACCAATTCAAATGTAAAGTCGAGATTATGTAAGCCTTTACTTCATTCTTTTTGTCTATTCAGATAAGATGATGAAATATATGCATGCAAATGCATACACGCACGCACACGCGCGCGCGCACACACACACACACACAAAATCACCAACCCAAATTCATGACTGCTTCACCTTGAGCCCTATGATGAGGTAGGATCAGATCCAAACTTATTTGTCTCTCTCTCACATCTAGTTCACCTAATTCTCTCCTTCTTTGGATTTTTTTGACCCCAACTTCTGGGGGCTCAAATTTTATGAAGTTTGAATACTACTTTTTGACTTACAGTTTCTGTCACAAGCATAGGGTATGGGGTTGGAAGATTTGCCTAGGGGAGGAAACATCAGTCTTCCAACATGTGCAGTACATTTTGTGACATGGGGACAGTGGAGAACGCTGACATTTTGTTATGTAATAATTATCTATTAACTATTTAGTACTGTTGTGCAAAGTAGGCCACTGTCACATTTTCCTGGTTGAGAATGTAACACTTTTTTTTTTCAAATTTTAAGGAACTTGCATTAGTTTGGACTGCTTATTTTCAATTAGCGCATTCCCTATATTCAAAGCTGTAACTGAGGGTGTCTACCCAGTACTGGAGGGTGTCTGCACCCCTATTTTAAAGAGTGGTTCCAGTCATAGACTACTGTTTGGTTATTTTGTGTGAAAATAAAAATAAAAAGTGTTCTAGTTTCCTAGTGATGCTGAAGAACTTCCCCACAGATTTAGTGGGTCCCAACAACACAGTTTTGTTATCTTACGGTACTGGAGGACATAAATTCCAAATATTTTGGCAGACATATGTTTTTATCTGCAGAGATTTTTTTTATTAGGGCAGTGGTGGTGAACCTATGGGACACATGTCACAGCGTATCATTGTATCATTGAAAGGTCTAAAAGGTTTGCTGTCACTGCTCTAGGGGATAATCTGTTTCCTTTCTTTCCCCAGCCTCTAGTGGTGGCCACAGTTCTTGGTCAGTGGCCTGGCATCACTGACCCCAGCTTCTGTCTTCATAACTTCTTGTACTCAGACGATCCTGATCTTCTTGCCTTCCTCTAGTAAGAACTCTTGTGATTCCTTTAAACCCATCTGGATAATTTAGGACAATGTTCATATCCAAAATCCTTAATTCAGTCACACTTACAGAGTCCCTATTGCAATTGGGAAGATGTAGTCACAGGGCTCAGAGGTTGGGTGTGAATGTTTTGGGTCATAGTCATCTCAGCTGTCATACTTGGTGCCTGCTGATGGGGCTGTGACTGTGACTGCAGGAGGGTTGTTGGTGTGCTTCTGTATTGTGCTTTCATCCAGAATTTACAAGATGGGTGATCTCTGCGAAGGAAATAGCACTTTTGCCATCAGCTTATTAAAAATGCTGGGTGAAGAAGACAACTCACAAAATGTATTCATATGCCCACTGAGCATCTCCTCCTCCCTGGCCATGGTCTTGCTGGGGGCAAAAGGAAACACTGCGGCCCAGATGTCCCAGGTACGCAAACCTGATCCACCCCCTCCAGAGAGAACAAAGGCAAGTTTCTCTTCTGCTTTCATGGAGCTTGTCTTGCCATACAGTCTTAGTTACTTTTCTCTTGTTGCTGAGACAAAATACCAAACACGCAAAGTTAAAGGGGAAAATGTTTATTTGGCTTACAGTTCGTAGAGATTTCAGTTCATAATCGGCTGGCTCCAAAGCAGGGTGGCAGAGCGGCAACCTTTCATGGTGGTGGAAGACAGCAAAAGCAACAAGGGACCTTAACGTGATCATCCTATCCCTTTTATCTTAGTCAGACTACTTAGGGCGGGCAGCACTCACATCCTTAATCCTAGTGCCCTTGGGCCTCGCCTCACCATCAATCGTTTACACACCCTAGATTCAGCCACCTCTGAAAAAGCATGAGGCTTGGAGGGGTCATCTAAACACAAGTCACAACACTATCACTCCAGCTGCTGACAGCTAGCGTGGCCCATAGATTAGGAAGAGGCCACTCTGACAATGTTGACATGAGCAGAAAGGTGATGTGTGCTGTGTAGGTCATCTCCTCTAATGTTTATGGGGTAATGAAGCCATCAAGTTATTTTCTCTAGGTAAAATTATCAAACCTTTTAGTGAAATCATACCTTTGATAAATAAGGGAAACTAATTTTGCCCCTCACAAAAGCCAAAAATCATTATGTTTTAAATAAAGGTGCAGCTGTGTAAATGAACTTTTAAAAAATGGGTAATTCTTAGTATATGATTATGCATATGTAGTTGAAAAATGTGACACAAATGTGCACTTAGATTTTCTGGAGTTAGAGGAAATCTATAACTGGCTCATTTTAAATGTTTATGTTTAAATATATATCTTTTTCCTCAAATGAGGTAGTGGGACATTTCTTTGACCATGTGATGAATGGATCCCAGAAAATTGCCATATAGGCATCATTTTGCCACTAGCACAGGGATGTATGGATAATATGTACATTTGGTGTCCCAGTTGAAATCCCCTGTGGTTGTTGCAACTTACTGGAGGAGGGAGGCTTCCAACTGGGGTAAAGAAGAGGCTCAGAAAAAAGTCTTATTTCTCACTTTGACCTGATATGTCAGTCATAATCTGGTCTGGAAAATTATAAAATTACAGATGAATCATTTTTATTTTTATTTCTGTTGCTTTTTGCACTCCCAGAGTCTTATTAGATGCAGCCCAACTACCTGTTTTTCCGTTCTGCCTCCCACATAAGTTATTTCACGCTGCCTTCAAAAATCTGCTAGACCAGTGTTTCCACTCAGGCAAGCAGTTTCCTTCCCTAGAGGTGCAGTGTTCAGTAAGGCTGGAATTTAAACTCTCATAGCTGAGAGATGTGCTGCCCTCTAGTGGGTACAGGCCAGACATGCTGGAAGACATCCTAGAGAGCACAGGATAATTCAAGTCACAAGGAACTGTCAGGCCCAAAGTGTCCCTAGTGCCAAGGTTAAAGAACCCTATGCTTTTTTTCTTTTCTTTTCTTTCTTTTTTTTTAGTTCTTCATGATAGCCATTCTTTCTGAATGTGATTATTGTGCATTGCAAATGTATATCATAGGAAAAGATGCTTGTTGGAATGCTCTCAAGGTGAGAAAAGCATTACAAAAAATTAAAGAGGACAATTGAACCGAACTTCTTTTAAGACAGAAGCCTGTGTAATTTTCAGTCCAGGTATTTGTTTGGAAATAGCTCTCCGGGGGAGTTCGATGGCCATGTTTAAAGCACGTACTGATTACTCTTCCCAGGCACTTTGTTTGAATGAAGATGGAGATGTCCATGAAGGTTTCCAGTCTCTTCTCACTGAAGTTAACAGAGCTGACACTAAGTACCAGCTGAGAATGGGCAGCAGACTCTTTGGAGAAGAAACATGTGATTTCCTTCCAGTAAGTAGTACTCACTCACTGATGAGCAGTTTGAAAATAAGATAGAGAGCACAGAAGAGCAGAGAATGAAGCACAATTTGATCACCTTGACACGTGTGCTTAGAATTATACTCCTGCAATTACACTTTTGACTTTTTTTATTCATTAAGTTTATTGGTACATTTTAGATATACAACCTGATGACATTCATTATTGGGAATTTGCACCTTTACATTATATATCTTGGTTCTTATTTTCTCCTCCATTGCCCTGACCTCCCTTCAACACCTCCACCCCTCTCTATTTACAAAGAATTTGTTTCTGTTTTTTTTTTCCTTTTCTCATATTTATTCCTTTTCCCTCCCCCTTCCCCTTCTTCTTTGGACCTTTCTATTTGACATTATCTATTTTTTTTATTTTATTGGTACATTTTAGGTATACAATATAATGATATTCATCATTGGAAACTTGCACCTT